AAACTAACTTATTTTTTTATATTCTCTTATAGAATAATGACTTTAACAATTTTTTTTTTTTATGAGGCCTGACTTTATGGCAAATTTGAGAATCAACAAAATCAATTTTACCATGTAAACAAAATGGCTACTCAATGAAAATAAAAAATTTTCTCTTACCTTTTATCAGAATTTTTTGTATCTTCATCTAATTTCACATTTTCCAATTGTGTTTCAACTTTTTCTTCTTCTTTTTCTTTTTCTAGACTCATTTTTTCTTATTATTTGTTTGCTGAATCAATAAAAAAAAAATAAAATTGTATGATTGAGTCATGATGATAAATTTCATTAACTACATAAAAATTGATGGGATGTGTTTGTTTGTGTGTGTTTGTATATTAAGCTTTCTCTAACTCAACACTATAAGATACTGCAAAAACTTTCAATATAAATTTAATAATAATAATATTTTCTTAAATAATAATTATGATGAAAAAATTATAAACAATTTTACAAATTGCAACAACCACAGTTTTACAATTGTAACAAACAACTACTACAATTGTTTAAATTATTATTTATAATAATTAAAATAGTTTAATATGAAATGGTTTGTTATGTTTAATTTATTAATTAATTATATATTTTATTAAAACTTAATAAACAATACTTTTTTTAATACCTTTCAAAAAATCATTCTCCATTCAAAGACTTTAATACATTTTAATTAAAAAATAAAGAAAAATTTTTTAAGTTTGTAAATAAATTATTAAATATTAAACGTTTTATTTATTAAAAACCATACAAACCTTATTTTACTGTTGAAACATAAAAGTAAAACCGTTGGCAGGGGAGAAAAAAAAAACTACAAAGAGGAGGGATTACAATTAATTTATATATGAATAATATACCACCGTATGTTACAATTTGAAAAACCGATACCGCGAAAAATTTCTTATTTTAACGATTTAAAATGATATAAAATGAATTTTTTATCATGGAAAAAACTAATTTAACAAATATAAATGAAAATAAGTTGAAAAGTTTTATAGAAATAACAAAATAAATGTAAAAAATAAGTTTTTTTTTTTCCACCTGCCGGTTATACACACACAAACACAAAACGATAAAGTCTCGAGAGCAACAAGTGGAAGAACGTAATTTTATTTTTTTTACAGGGTGGCGGTGAAAATTTCATAGAATTTCAAAAAGGGCGGGAAAAAAAATAAACAACAACAACGCCAACGCCAACCCTTTATCTAACCGGTGACTTAGATTTATGATTACGTCATCAACAATGTAATTTAATGGCTGACGTTCGTTAATTTTTTAACATTCTTTTTTTTTTGACAATTAAATATAATAATATTAATAATATCGATGCCATTTTTTTTTTTTTACATTAATAATTAAACAAATCCTTGATCCATAACAAGGAATAAAAAAAAATAAATAAATAATAATAAAAAATAACATTATTTTATTATTACATCTAAATATACATATATATATACACATACATAAAATTTAATATGTATGTATATTATTTTTATTTTTAATAATAATAATAATAATAATAATAATAATAATAATAATATTTACAAATTTAAATAATTGATTTAATTTCATTTATTTATTTTTTTTGTGTTAAATTACAATTTATTATTCATTTTTTTTTTTTAACTTTTTTAAATTTTTAAATTACAAATGATGGAATCGACAAATAAATAATTAATTAATTAATTACAAATATTCACAAAAAAATTTTCTTTTTTTTTTATGCTTCGAAAATAAAATAAAAAAAAAAAAAGGCAAGAAAAAAATTAAAATAATAATAATAATAAAAATAAGGCGTAGAGAAATTTTTTTTTTAAGAGCCAAAAAAAAAAAAAAACTTGGCAAATAATAATAATGATGAAAATAAAATAAAATGAAAATGCATTCAGCTTAACGCAAAATAAAAAAAAAAAAAAAAAAAACTATTAAAATAAATAAAATAAAATAAAATTATTATTATTAATATAATTTATTATGTTTTTTTTTCTAAATAAAAAAAAAAAAAAACATATTTCGGAATTCGTCCGAATAAAAAAAAAAAAATTTAAATAAATAATTAGGGCAAGAAAAAAAAAATTATTTATTTATTTATTTATTTTTATAATTTCGTAAAGAAAACTTTTCCCTTCTCCCTCCCCCTCCTCCACTCCCCACGAAAAACCTCATCATAAAAATCACGACAAACAAACAAATGAGAAATTATTTTAAATTTTTACTTTTAACATTTTTTTTTAAATAATAAAATTAATTAATTAATTAATTACAAAAATATAATTATTATCTATAATACACGTGAATTGATGTCACGTGTGTAATAAAACCACGTGCACATCATTGATTGCATTTTTTTCTTTTTTCTTATTTTTTTTTTTGAAAATTTCAAAAAATTAAAATTGAAAAAAATGCAATAAATTATTAATAAATAAATAATAATAATAATAAAAAAAAAGAAATTTTTTTTTACTTAATAACTTTGGCATTAAAAAAAAAAAAAAATACGTGAGCGAGAGAGAGAGAGAGAGACAGAGTCAGAGAGTGAGTGAGTGAGTGAGAGAGAGCAAAAACAAAAAATTACAAACAATTTATTATTAACATATGTCTATACATACACACATTTATATATTTATTAATGTAACGGCGAATGTTGCGTGTTTGTGTTTGCATTGTTTGTTTGTTTGTTTGTTCGTTTATCGATGCAAACGACCTGATTACTTAATAATAATAATAATAATAATAATAAAAAAATAAACGCCAAAGTTTAAATTTTTTTAGCCTCTTTAAATTTACATGGAATTCATCAATTTTTTTTCTTTTTTTTTAAAAACAAATAATTTCATCGCAAAAAAAAAAAAACAAACAAACGTTTTTTTTTTAACTACGTTTGTTTGTCGCTTTATTGAAGTGTTTGTTTGTTTGTTTGTTAATTCAATAACAATCCATAACGAAATTTCTCCGTTAAAAAAAAAAACTTTGTTTGCATTGCAAAAATTATTTAATTTGTAATGTATTTGTAAAATTATTTGTTTAAAAAAAAAAAAAAATTATAGTAATAATAATAATATTAATAATAATAATAATAATAACAATAATAATAATATTTATTCTTACTTTTGTTATAATTTATAAAAATATGTACACGTTTGAAAAAAAAAAAAAATTATTATAATACAAACAAATTTTTACTCGTCAGACCAGCTGCCACACGCAAACCTAAAATTTATTATTATTATTATTATTATTATTATATTTTGTCTAATTTACAGAGCGAGGGAGAGAGAAAGATGAAATAAATAAATAAATATAGAATATTAAAAATAAAAAATAAAAAATCCGCCATTATCACGACCACGCATTTTTTTAAAATCCATTTTAAAAAAAAAAAATTTTTTTTTTTTTCATGTTAATTACATTAAGTAGGTGTGAAATTTTTTTTTTTTACTCCCTCCCCCGCGTTCTCTCCTCCCGCAACCAAAAAAAATTCAAAATTATTAATAATAATAATAATAATAATAATAAATTATTTTTGTTTCGAAGAAAAAAAACTTACGCATTTGAAAAAAAAATTAAAAACGCGAATAAAAATCATTTATCCGTTCGTTCGTTCAATTATTTATTTATTTATTTATTTTTTTCGAGTATTTTTTAATATTTCGCCTTTATCCTATTATTATTATTATTATGATTATTATTATTATTATTAGTCAATTCAAAAACGTTACAACAGCATTTGTTCCTTTTTTTTCTCTCTACATTTTGGTCCTTTAAAGAGAAATAAATAATAAAACTTACAACTAAACAACTAAAAAAAAAAATAAAATTAAAAATAAAAACTAATACAACTACAAAAACTAACAATAATAATAATAATAATAATAATAATTATAATTATATTCATTTTATCAATATTATTATTATCATTATTATTACTAATTAAATTTTTTTTTTTTTGTTAATGTTGAATTTTTTATTTTCTTTCACTCGTTTTTTTTTTTTTTTTAATTTGTTAAAATATATTTATGTATATTTGTGAATCTTATGTACTAAATTAATTAATATTATTAATGATTATTATTATTATTATTATTATGTATTTTTTTTCTTTTTTTTAATAACAACAACATGAGTTTTTTTTTTGTTAAAACAACCGAATTCGTGATGTGATTCTTTTTGTTTTTAACAACAAATTAGTTTTCACTATTATTATTATTATTACTATTATTATTATTATTAAGTATCTGTTAATAAATTAATTATTTTTACAAAAAAAAAAAAAAAGTTACGAATAGGTCCCCGAATAAGCTCCTTATTATTATTAATTAATAATTAATTGCATGTAAATAAAATACTAAATGATTAACGTTTCAAAAGTGACGTCATTACTAAAACTGGAAAAAAAAAAGTTTTCTTTTGAAACTTCTGGAAAAAAAAAGAAAAATTCTAAGCCGCCATTTTATCATATTTAATTACACTTTATTATTATTATTATTACGGTTTTAAAATTTTTTTTTCTTCTTCGGAAGTGAGGTGACAAAAAAAAAGGGCTTTAAAATTCATTGCTATTATTATTATTATTATTTTTTCGATTGGAATGATGTTAAATTGAATAAATAGCCCATTTATAATTTTTTTTTTTTTTGGAATTACCCCCTTTTCCCTCCCTCTCCCCCCGGGATGAATTTTACGGAAGCAAAAAATATTTTTCTATACCTGAGTTTTTTTTATTTATTTTAAATAAATTTGTTTGTTTTGTTTGTTTCTGTTTGTTTGCCGGTTGTAAAAAAAAAATTGTGTTTGTATGTTCGTTTGTGTGTTTGCTTGTAAGTTTCGAAAGGAAAATTTCACCGTTGAATAATCACGTGACGAAATGATAAAAACTAATAATAATAATAATAATAATAAAACGAAGCTAAATAAAATTAAGCTAAATAAATAAATTAAAAAAAAAAAAAAAGGGGGGGGAGGATTAACAACTAAGTGGCAAAATCGACTTTGTCCCACGACAGGGAAGACGATGGCAGCTTGAAATCGTTTTCGTGAATGTCGAACAATTCAAATGGATCCTGAGCGTTTCCCAACAGGGAATCGTATGAATTGTCGTTGCAATGCAAAAACTCGCATCCGACCGTGGAAGAAGACAGGGAATTTGCAAAATGATTCGACGACGATTGATTGTCCGGAGCGGGCATGAGAGAATCCAACCAATTATCATCCATGTCCATGGGTTCCATGAGCTCCGTTTTGACGAGATCCGGATTGTTGTTTATGAGCTGATCCGTTTTGTTTGCCGTCGGCGATGACGAAGACGACGTGGAAACCGTCGTTTCCGTCGATTCCATTTCCGTGTCGTTTGCGTCCATTTTACAATCTAATTGACTAAAATCCATTGAATCTAATGTTTCTAAATTTAAACCTAATTCTTTTAAATTAATATCACCGTTTCCGTACTCCGTTGGCAATATGTTATCATTCGATGATAGTAAATTATCATTTGATGATAATATATAATCCAAACTATTGGAATGAAAGTTTTGGTCACTCGAATTGTTCAGATCGAAATCTGACGTTTCCGCGGACATAAATTCAATATTGTCCAAATAATTTATTCCGGAACCGAATGTATTCTTATTTGAATTATTGTCTCCGTTAATAAAATTAGAATTTGATAATGAGAATGTTATGTTGCTTGTCATGGCGTCGCTCCCGGCAGAAGGATCTCGGTCGGACGAATTCGGTACGTAGGCTTGAGTGAGCGTGTACGTGGGAGGATTCACACTCTGCGTCGTCAACGTGAACGGAGTGCTGCTTGAAAAGGTTGTGTTCGGAAGGTTGAATTGAGCCGGAGGTTGAGTTTGAGATGTCAACGTGATAGACGTTGGAAGAGTGACAGAAAAACTGGGATGGGGCAAAGGAGGAGGCGGAGGCGGAGGCGGCGGAGCCGAAGTATATATTAGTTGTTCCGTTTCAGGATCGTAGGATCCGGAACAGTTTGGAGTTGTCGGAGTCGCCGGATCGTTGGCAGCGCTCGGAGGCAATTCTCCATTTTTTATAAGTATCTCTAAAACATCGTCAACGATTTGACTTTTTACACTTTTTGACTTCTTATCTTCAATGTCTTGCTGAAGAGATTTCGTAGCTTCCTCATACTGAGGTGGGGGAGGTTTGCTAGTAACTATAAATGTTTGTTGTTCCTCTGAGCCTGCCCGCCTGGGCTGTAAAACTTGATTTTTCACTTTTTGTTGTTGAGAAAATTTATTTGCTGTTGAAGACTGTTTTTCATCTGGTATAATGGTATTTTGCACTAAGGTACCGAGAAACGTGGGCAAAGAAGAAGTTCTTTGATGACCTAGAATCCCATTTTTTTGTTTGACCAAATTCAAATGATTCAAAACAATGGCAGCTTGTTGCTGACCTAAAACAATACTTCTCCTACCAGCTAATTTGTTTTTCACTAAATTATTATTGTTGTTGTTGTTGTTATTATTATTATTATTATTGTTGTTGTTGTTATTATTATTATTATTACTATTACTATTATTATTATTGTTGTTGTTGTTGTTGTTATTACTGCTATTACATTCACTATTATTGTCTAAATTGTTTTTGTTATTATTGTTCACGTTACTGTTATTACTACTATTATTACAGTTGCTACTATTATTATTGTTATTTTTAATACTACTAAAATTATTATTATTATTATTATTATTATTACTATTATTGTTGTTGTTGTTATTATTATTATTATTATTATTATTGGCTGTTTGCAAAAGATTGTTTATCTGATTTTGGGCCTGCTGTTGATTTATAAAGGCCGCTAAACTGGCTTTTGCATTAACCGTTTCGCTGAGTTGTTGATTGTTTTGCTGCTGTTGTAATTGTATTTGTAACTGTTGTTGTTGTATTTTATTTTGCAAATGCTGTTGTAATATGAGCTTTTGTTGAGATTTGGGATCTATGTGAATTATTCCATTTTGTAATAATGCTTTTACGGGAATAGGCGAGGTAATTGCAGTCGTTGTCGTAGACGTCGAATTGTTTGTCACCTTGGTTAAATTCGATGCTTCTTTATTTTGACGTATTTGTTGAAGTTGCTGCTGAGATTTCTGTAATTCTCTTTGCAACTCTTCTATTTTTTTCTGCTGCTGCTGGATAATTATATCACCATTCTGAAATCAAAATATCATAATTACTATCTTAATGTCGTTTCCAAAAAAAGAAAAAAGAAAAAAAAAAAAAACAAATCACTCACATTGGGTGAAGCTGGAGGACTCTGTTCACTCGTGTCCATGGCACTGGGTGTGGGTGAAGCGGGAGGGGGAGTACACGTTTTTGCTCCAGGCGAAAAATTATTTTCTTCATCTTCTTGCTCGCACGGTGACACGGCCACATCCATTTCGCTTATTACTGATCCTGGATTATCACCGCTAGATAAAGAAACTGTTCTACCTCCAGAAGAAGTAGAGGTAAGCATAGAACCATTACCATCCGCATTTTGATTATTATTATTTTCCCCATTGCCAGATTGGGTGAACGGTTTTAAACGTTCTATGAGTTGAGGTTTGGGTCCTGATACGGGTAAATTTCGTTTTTTCAATTCCAACTTTAAATCGCTAACTTTCATGTCTTCCAGTTTTGTTAAAACCCTGCTAGTCGAAATCGGAGATGAAGCGACACTGGAAGAAGAATTCTGATTCGAAGTCTGCGAATCGGATTGCGGAGGACTGGAAGGTGGTCTAGACTGAGGCGTTGACGGTTGAACAACGGGAGTTGCAGATCTTGACGATTGCGTCACCAAAAACGTGGTTCCCGAATTACTTGCCACGTTTGTGATATTCGATATGGTACCTTGCAAATTTCCCACACTTTCCGTCGAAGGTTTTTGAGCGGCCGGAAGTATGATCTGCGGATATTTATGCTGCCATTCCAACTGCCATTGTAAAAATAATTGTTGCTGTTGCAAAAGCAACTCGTAAGACGTTTCCGTCGATGAAGAATTTACTGACGTGTTTTTTTGAGCATTTGGAGGACCCTGAATAAAAAAAAAATTTTTTTTTTAAATTAATACTTTGCTGCTACGACTATTGAATGAAATCGATTCAATCAAACCAAACAAATCAAAAAAAAAAAAAAAAAATTTTTTTTTTTAAGCTTAAAATTAAAATTTGATAAAAATAATAACTGAAAAAAAAAAAAAAAATTCTTTTTTTATTATTGAAAAAAAAAAAAAAAAAAAAAAAAAAAAAAACTGGCCACCAGCCATTTTTGTTACATTTTTAATTTACAACGAATAAACACCATTGAATTCCGCCTTGCGTTGGATTCGATTATTTTTAATTTTTTTTTTTTTTTGCAAATATTAAATTTTTTTAAATAAAACCGACACACATACGACACATATATTTTTTTAAAAATTTGAAATTTTGCTAACCTTGTATTCGTGAAATTTTATAGTTCTCGCTTTAGGCTGAGTTTTCGTTTTAGATTTTTTCCTATTTTTATCCGCCTTTCCCGGAGCTGGAGAAGATAATGAAGCAGGCCTGGGTGTTAGTGGAGTGGGAGGAGAAGCGATTGAAGACAACGGACTCAGGCTCGACGTGCTTGACCCCAATGATAAGGGTGATACTACGCTGGAGCATAATTCGGCAAAAGTTTGCAAACTTTGATTTTTATCATTCGGTATTTGCTGAAGGATCGGGGAAGTCACGACAACAGCGTTTGTAGGAATAGTAACTGCCATGTTCATGATTCCAGCACTCGCAGCAGCCGTTTCAAGCACATCTCTCGGCCTGGATTCTTTCGTTTTGCTCGTTTGAGGTGTATTACTACTACTACTACTGCTACTACTACTACTATTTGCTACGGTATCGAGTGCCGGAAGAGCGTTATTCGAAAAAGTGGTGGGAGTGTTTGTCGGACTTCCGGCACCCTCGGAACTTTGCGAATCGTCTTCGAAAGTGATATAATGATCAGGGTGTTGAGGTTTTCTCAACTGTCCTTCGCTTGTTGCTTTAAAAGGAATAGCGCCCTCTTTAACTGCCCTTTCTATGGGCTCTTCCGTATGGAGGATATTCTTTTTAATGAGCTCCAAGGGACCAGGTCGATGACACAATTGATCATTCAGACTATCGGCCAAACGCGCTTTCTTCAACATTCTTTGTCTTTCGGCGAGAGATGGATCTACGTGTCCAACATCGGCCTCGAGAATGTGTTGACGAACCAATTCTTCACGATCCGGTCTTTGTTGAATTTTGGCTTTCAACAAATCCCCCATTTTAGCTCGTTCCAGCTTTTGACGTTGCTCGTGAAAAGCTGGCGGCGTTTTCAGAGCTGTAATAAAGAAAGAAAAAAAAAATGCACGAGGTGATAAATGAGTACAATGTTAATGATGATACGAAAAATACAGAAAAGAAAAGAAAAGTAAACGTAGAGAGAAATTATTTCATTTTCGAAAGCAAAGCTTTTAGAAAATAAAATAATAATAATAATGATGAATGAAAAGCGAAAAATAAACAAGAAAAGAAACACACAAAGAAAATACATGGAAAAAAGAAAAAATGAAAAACCCATTCGCAAACTTTAAAAAAAAAATAATAATAATAATAACTATTACAAAAAAAAGCACCTTATAGCAAAACAACATGCAAAAAAAAAAAAAAATGCAAAACTAAAATTTAAAGTAAAAACGTATAATTGGTGCAAAGGAAAGATGAAAAATTGCTGGAAAAAACGAAAAAAGCCACATGCAATGCTAAAAATAATAATTGAGAGGAATCGGAGGGGAGGGGGGAATCGAGGAGAAAACCTTTTGGTTTTCTCCCCGTTTAAAAATTTTTATAAAACTACTACTACTACTACTCACAAGGCATGATTCCTTGAGCGACGAGTTGGTTTATTGGTCTCCGCATCATCAGCTTAACTTTGAGAGCTGAAAATGAAAAAAAATTTTCCTCATTTCAGAGAGAGAGAGAGAGAGAGAGAAAAAAAAAAAGAAAATTGTAATTGATTCTCTATAGTATACGAAACCGGGAAAACAAAATAAAAATAAAAAAAAAACGGGAACCTCGTGTGTCTCTTGCACACACATACACACACACACAAATTATAAAGAACGCACTTCACGACCCGCTAAATTGATACTGGAAGTCGCAAAGAAGGCACGACAAGAATAAATTATACCAATAAATGAAACCATTTGATGATGGCGAAGGTACACGAACGTCATAAAAATATTACTAATGAGAATTAAAAAATAATAATAATGATAATAATAATAATAATAATTTTCGAAAAATCAAAAAGAAAATAAAAAAAAAAAAAACAGAAAAACAATGAAAAGAAAAAAAAAATTTTTTTTTTTTTAAAATCGACACACCGGAAATCATCGGCCATTTTTTTTTGTTTTGTTTACAAAAACCATATTGAAGAATTCTTCGTACCATCTTAATTTTCCATAACTTTTTCGCGATCAAACTCGCGAACGGGAAATTAATTTCATTAAACAAAATTTTTTTTTTTAAATTTCAATTAACCATCGACACAAAATTAAAATGATTAAAAATTTTTTAATGAAGAAAAAAATCTGACAGTTGATTTGCATTTAATGTCTTTTTCAACACTTACTTCATCTTCTTACCCCTCTCGTTCTTCTCTCTCTTTTTCAGACAACAGGACCAGTATTCACGGCATCAAATTAAAAACAACAAAAAAAAAAAAAAAAAAAATTTTTTTTTTTTTTTTTTTAATTCGGTGGGCGTTTTCGTGTCTCGTCCAAAAAAAATATTGTACAACAAATATTTAGTTTTCCCGTTAATCAAATCTCACATTGAACAACAACAACAACAACAACGGCAGCAGCAGCAAAAAAAAAAGAAAAGAAATTTTCATCACACAAAAAATTTTCTGCCAATTTTTGCAAAAATTTTGGCATGTGTTAAAAATTTTGAATGATACAAAACAAAAGAGAATAAGGTGATGCGCCACATTAACCTACATCCCTATCCCTACCTAAATCAATTGTTATGGGGGGAAAACTTTTTAAAATTTTACAATTTTTTCCAAAAAAAAAAAAAAACAACAACCGCAAAGAAAAATTCTAACGAAAAATTTACATAAAATATTTTATTTAATCAAATCATTTGATGACGTACGATTTATCGACGATTACGTTAATTGCAAAACCCATTATTCTATAGTTTTTTTTTTTTTTTTCAAACACAACATTCAGGATGGCGCGTGTCTTTCTTTATTACGTGATCGCAAAACACGTTTTTCTTTTTTTTTATTAACATCGGAATCGTGTTTCTTCCTTTATAACCATTCAATCGTCAAACATAAATTAATATACTAAACTAATATATAAATAAATAAACATACGTGTGAGTGCGTGCGTGCGTGTGTATATAAAATATTTTTAATTGACCAACATTTATATATAAAAATAAAACGAAATAAAATATTACATAACACTAAAATCTATTAATTATACGGATAATTCGATGTAACACACACACACACATCGCTTGGTCATTAGGGATTTTCTATTTTTTTTTCGACAATAATTGGCTCGATTAATAATTTTCTTCAAAAAAAAAAAAAAAATTAAATGATTATTAAAAATAAAATAAAATAACGATAATGATATTAATTGACCAAAATTTAAAAAAAATGGCAAGAGTTTTCATCAAAATTTAAAAATGAAGAGAGAGAAAAAGAGAGAGATAGAGAGGGAGAAATTTGGCCAAGTTTTTCAAGTAAGGACGACGATATGATTATTTGAAAAAAAAAATAAATAAATAAAAAAGACATTCAATAATAAAGTCAAGCCAAAAAGAAAGAAAGAAAGAAAGAAAAGGTCTACTACTACGGTAGATTAAGCATAAATTGGTCGCCTGGCAAACCAAAATTAATCTTTGAATAAAATCTATAAAATCTATATAATAGAAATTATCTATTTTTGGTCCAAGATTTGCTCTAATTCAGTAGCATAATATTATCATTTGGTTCGATCTATTTTTACGATACGTACACTAACTGAGTCATGTTTTCAGTCTGTCATCTCTCTCTCTCTCTCTTTTTTTTTTTTTATACAACACGTAAATACACGTATATACGTACACGTATACGCACAAGCATACGCACGCACGCACGCACGTTCTTTTCTTTCGTAAACAAAGAATAGTAAAGGACGGATTCGTTCTTCTATGCGAGAGAGAGAGAGAGAGAGAGAGAGAGAGAGAGATTCAGGTTGCCGCGTTTGTTAATGACCAATTTCTTTCCGGGCCATTTATTTTTATTTTTCCAATGATTGTTTTGGACGATTACACACATACACACATGACACTTTTCGAATATGTTACTGGCTCGAATCAAGACATTTCGAGAGGAGACACTCGAACGATGACTCAACTAAACCACGTTAAAAAAAAAAAAAAAAAAAAAGAATTTTCGAAGGAAGAAAAAAAAAAAATATTTCAATTAAATCCGTTGCCAACCTTTGAAAAAAAATTTTTTTTTCATTCAATTTTTCCTTTCTGCTTTTTAATTACTTAACGTCAGCCACCACATTTTAATTAATCCTTTTTTTTTTTTTTAAATCAATTTTAAAGAGATTCTCTTAACAATAACAGAAATCAATCAACATCATTTCCCCTCCCCCCCCAATTCAACAACAACTTGTGTGAAAATAAACCGGAAAAAAAAAATCAAAACAAATCATTTTTAAATTTACAAAAAAACATTCTTATACACTTACATTCCTTATTTTTGTCCATTGTTTTTTGAAGCGGAGATTCATCCACTTCGGCAACGAGGGACCCGGACGATACGCTAGCAGAAGGCAAACTTTGGGATACACTGGAACCACCTCCGGAACCTTCTGACATTGCACTACGTTTTTGATTGTACTCTTTGAACCACTCTGGATATATTGCGATGATGGTGTCTAATAGATCTTGATCAAGTTGTATCGACCACGAGTGAGGGCCACTTTCAACTCGATTTTGACCCGAATCTGAAATAAATGAATAACAAAAAAAAAAAAAATTATTTTCACATGACAAATACATTCGAGTGCATACGTGAGAACCGTCAGAAAATTTAACGTGGAGAGAAAAAGAGAGAGAGAGAGAAAAGGATTTGGCAGAAAAAAAAGTGAGAGAACAAAAAAAAAAAAGCGTGAGGAAGCGTGGTATGGCGTGATAAATAATTTTACTTCAAATTTTCGACAAGGTCAGTAAAAAAAAAAAAAATTACAATTGAATTTTTCTATTCACCAAATCATTGGAACAATTTTAGGTTTGTTTGAACAATCAATCGAACAAACAAACAAACATCTGGCTAGACGTTTGGGCTTTTCCGATATTTTTCTTTCACGTAATCTTTTTTCCTTTTTTTTTTTTTTTTTTTTGGGTAAAATCAATCGATTTATATTTATCGATCATTTTTTACCTTTTATTAATTATTATAATTTACTTATTTGATAATCGATCGATGAGCGTTTACGAGTCGTTACGAAAAACATTTTCCGTAAAATTATTAAGCGCCAGACGTCGAACCTTATGAAATAAGGTACTACCTGTGAATTTCTTAACCAATAAGTATAAATAAATAAAACTCATCAAAACAAGTTTTTCTTTTTTTTTTTTTTTTAATGAAAGAAAACATTCGCCTCCCACGTTAATTTTTTTCAAATGAAAAAACAACAACAACAAGTAAACAAACAAAAAAAAAATTTAAGTAACAAAATTTTAGGTCCACATAAATTATATCATCATACATATCCTGATTCTTTTTTTTTTAAGATACCTTAAATTACGTTTAAAGACCTCGTCGCCCACAGTATAAAAAAAAAAAAAAACATTTAGCACACCTTTTTATTCATTTTAAACAACTTCCCCCGCTTTAAAAAAAAAATTTTTTTAATGAAGGGGGCCACATGTAATAATTATTTTTTTACGTTGAGTTAGGTTTTGTTTTTCCTTTCATTTATCTTTTTTTGTTTTCAACTACCCCTACTTTCGAGACTGGCAAAAACAAAAAAAAGGAAAGACGATAAAATTTTAAACGTATTTTCTTAAATCCTCCTACACCTTTGGTTAATAACAGTTATGGTAATAATAATAATAATAATAATAATAGTGTTAACAACAGCGCATATTTATCCACAGTTTCAAAAAAAAAAAAAAAATCTGATTTCTATCACGTCAATCTTTTAAATTATTTTTCCTCGTTAATCAGAGGAGGAAAAAAGGGAAGAAATGAATGAATGAATGAATGAGTGAGTGAGTGAATGAGTGAGTAAAACGTGATTTAAAATGCCCAAGGTGAAAAATAAAAAAAAAAACTGTAAACAAGGTGAGGCTGCGTGGGATTTAATTTATAAAAAAAAAATTATCCCAGAAAAGAACTAATCAGAAAAAAAAAAAAAATTTACAACCGAAAAAATACTTTTACTTAGGTTTCAAAAAAACAGCAAAAAGAAAACAGCAGGAGAAAAAAACGGGGGGAGGGGGGCGAGGAAGAAAAAACCTCATCGAGCAACATTTACTCCACATCGTCATATTTTCCTACGACTAAACAAACTACATCAATTTTTTAAGGAAAAATGCAAAAAATTTGCATTTAAATAACGCAGTCGACGAATAACGAACGAACGCATTCCCCCCACATTTTCCGATCGGAATAAATAAAACATTTTTTTTATGCAAAAAAAAAAAATCATAAAATAAACAAACTCGTACAACAGTCGACTTTAATGATTTTTTTTTTTTTCTATTTCCGTATTATCGATAAAATATATTGAATCGAAAAAAAAAATTGGATGCATCATTTTTACATATATATAAATATTCGCATTAAGGGTCACTTAATACTAATAATAATAATAATAATAACGATTCGTCTTTATTACATTTTATACCATTAATATTATCCAATATTAACTGGTCAACACAAACCAAACAACAATCGTAATGTTTTTTTTTATTTTATTTTTTATTTTTTCTTCTTATTTTTTTTTTTTTTTTATTAATCCCTTAAATTGTTCCAACGATTGGACGAAAGCCATCCATTTAGACAACGCCATACATTTGCCAAATACCAATATATACAGCAGTTTATTCATAGAAGTAGAAGAAAAACAACAGAAAAAAAAAGAGAGACAGATATCTGTCACGGCCTTGGATCATAAAATTGTCCCACTGTTTTCTTTTCGCCTACGTGAATCTTTTCTCTTAACTTTTTTTTTTTTTTTTTTTTTTTTTTAAATTTTCAGGGGTAAGTTGCACTTTTTTTTCACGTCCTTCAAAATTTTCTTTTAAAAAAAAAAAAAATTTTCAGTAACAATAAAAATAATTGTTTTTTTTTTTCGAAAATTTTAAATTACGCAAAAAATTGAATTTTTTTTTGTTTTCATTTTTTTATTTCGTTTTAAATTTCAAATTTTTTTTTTTTTTTTTTTTTATTTAATCTTCAATTTCACGGCATAGAAATTTTTTCCGATCAAATTTTAAAGAGTGAAAGAATGTAAATTTTAGTGCGAGAGAGAAAGAGAGAGAGATGGGGGAAGGAAGCAAATTGTAAAGAACAACGCGAAAAACAAAAGAACACAAAATTAAGGGGATCTAATCTGAAATTGATAATAAAAATATTTTCGAAAAAAAAAAAAAAAAAAAAAAGTCAACGAAAATTTTTTTGACCACGTTATGGTGAAAATACAATCACATCTCAACAAATAAAACTTTGGTCAATTGTCAATCCACCGATTGTAGACACATAAAACATATTAAAAGCAAGAGAGAAAGAGAGAGAGAGAGGCAAAATTATGATATGAAATTATGGCGTTTCCAAAAAAAAAATTAAAATCATCCCACAGGATTTTGACAACTGCCAGGGAAAAACTCGTTACAAAAAACATTTAACGATGACAATTGCGTAACTTATTCTCATATATTTATATATCGATACGGCGACGAGTACATCAAAAAAAAAAAAAAAAAATTTTCACGCCCACAAAATTCTATTATTTCTTAACTGCATCCATTTGGCTCAAATACATTTTTTTTTCTCTCTCTCTCTCTCTCTCTCTCTCTCTTGTGGCAAATTGAACAAGTGAAATGCAAAATATAATAACTATAATCCCCCTTGATGTTTTTCTCCTCCTCCCTCTCCCTCTCCCTCCTTCACTCACTCACTCCCCTCCTCTCTCTCATTTTTTTCTCAACATTTACACACACACACAAACAACAAACGGGGGGGGGGGGGGAGAGAGAAAAAAAAATCACAAAACCATAAAATTTTTATTTCTTTCGTTGGAAATTTTTTTCTTTTCTATTTTTTCTATTTTTACGCTTGCATTAAACGATTACCATTTTTTTTTTTCGATTTAAAAATTACGTTATTGTTTAAATAAAATGTAAAGAGCACCACTTGTTGAAACTCATTCATTATAAAATTTATATTATAAAAAAAAAAAAAAAGCAGAAGATTATTTTCCTCTTTTAATTTTCCGCAAACAAACACCTCCTTCGAAAATTTTCATTGTAAATTTTATTAATAATATAAACTCATATTCGTTTACTAAAATGGTACTTTTACCGCGTCAATCTTAAAAATATCTTTTTTTTTTTTTTTTTTCGAAAAATTTTATTCGATAATGAACAAGCAAAACAAAAAGAAAAACAACAACAAACGCGTACATAACCTTGGACTTAGAAATCAGGTTTTACATATATATATTTATATTTATTTAATACATTTAATTAAAATTCGCCGTCATTATAATTTTCCGCTTCGCAGAGTAATTTCTTAAAATAATAACAAACAAACAAAAAAAAAAAAAAATTAACCCGCGCATTTTGACACCTACGACTAACCAATCGTTTAACCCATCTTTTTTTTTTTTTTTTTTTTTTTTGATTCGACGATTATCAAAAATTAATTTCAAGATGGAAATGTATTGTAATAATGCGTAAATTCAAATGTTGCCAACGAGTATTTTTAATTCAGGAAAAGACAAAAAAAATAACAAAAAGTTTTCCGCAGCCATTTACAAAATTACGTACGTTAAAAATACCTATTGCTCAAATCCACAAAAAAAATACTAATAATAATAATTAAAATGACCTATAATCAATAACTTTTCTTTTTTTTTTGTTCTTGTTAAAAGTAATTAATTTTTCCTTATACGGAAAATACTAAAATATTATTAATAATAATAATAATAATAAAATAAAAACAAATAAAGCAAAGCGTTAAGAAATCGCATAAAAATATTTTTTAAAAAAAGTACCTTTGGTATTCAATAACGCATTTTAATCGTTCGTTACGACTTTTCCTCAATTTCACACCCCTTATAAAAAAAAAAAAAAAAAAAAATGGAGGATGATTTTATCACCATCCCTTTCCACCGAAACAAAAACAAAACCAAAAAATTAACAAACCACGAAAACACTTTCACTTTTATCATAACGATTTTCACTTATTCATCTATTTACCGACTAGAAAAGGGGGGAAAACAACCAAATTTTAATTTTAAAAATCCTGGAAAACATTCCGTGTGACATTTTCATTTTCCGAAACGACTACGAATGTGTGTGTGTGTGAGAAAATTTATCAGTGAAACTATATCGAAATAAAAAAAACAACATCAATTACATAAACTCACTGACGTTGAAAAATTGATCGACTCGATCGAGGTTTTTCAATTTTTTTTTATTAGTGATTATTAAATCGACCCGGGCTCAGGTGGTACCCGGTTTATTAAAGGTATTAAAATAAAATTTAAAAATAAAAAAAGTCACCGTCGTTTATGGTTTTAACCCATATAAAACGATCATCTTACATTTTGTAAATATCACCATATAAAAAAAAAAAAAAAATTACGTTATATGTTGTTTTATGACGAACATAAAAATTTTAATGATTATGTAATACTAATCATCATCATCCTAATCATCATCATCATAATCATCATCATCATTAATATTATTATTAATTTTTTTTTATAATTAAACAAATTAATTATAAAAAAATTTTTCAAGTTAAATTTTTAAAGATACAGGAAAAA